CTTACCTTTTCCTGATGTATGCCTGCGATTCCTGCCTACACCTAAGAATATATCTTCATATTGTGGCCCGGTAAGGGATGCTAAAAATGCTAATGTGCCTCTGCCATGCAATCTCCGACGCTCACCCTTACCCTTACCTCGACCCTTGCCTTTTCCCTTGAGTGCTCGTCGGACGATACGCCGTACCTGGCGAACTGGCTTCTTCATAAATCGCCTCCATATGCGCTTATGTTTCTAGTTTCCAATGAATAACCATTGTGCCTGTTGCTCTTCCGCGAAGTATGCAAACGTATCGGCATAGTCAAGGCTTCTGGCCTCGTCGTCCGAAGACGTTTCGATGTCAGTGCCGGAGTCGAAGTCGGACTCGGCAGATTGCCCCGCTGAGCCCATTCGGGTTGTGGCTTGTGTAGGGGATGCCGCGTCGGGCGGCCCCGAAACCTGGCCCAGGAGTCTTGCGTCCCCGATGCCGACCCACCATTCTGAGCCAGTAGTGTAGTGGTCTCAGTTGGTTGTGGATCGTCATTCCAGACGTAATTGGCAGGTTGCTTTTCGTCTGTCTCCACGTGGAAGGTCTCGGTTCGGTGACCGTGACTGAAAGTGCCGCCAATATTGTCAGGGGTTTTCTCAGCAATGTGTGCATATGACCTCATGCGTTCAAGTAGAGCGTCAAACTGTTGCTGGTCTCTCGGCATGTGGTGGTTTAGTGGCTGCAAGAGCTGCTTTGCACGCTATGTCCCCACTCCAAGAGCTCGGAATGAAATAACTGCTAAGTTTGGGAAGTTGGGGACGTTAAAGCCTGCCGTTTCAGCTTCATAGCGGGCTATCTCGAAGCGTGCCAACGTCTGGTCAATTCGTTCTCCTGCACGAACTCGGAAGTCAATGAGAGCTGTACCAGAATTGAATTGGCGTTCTTCGTCTAAATTCTCGAACTTCGTGCTTAAGAAGAACATGCTACGCCGTCGGTATGGCGGCCACCTATGTTAACGCCAAAATTGATGAGTGCTGGGGGGGCTCTCCGCGAGGCCTCCCAAACCTCGCTGCAGGGCTGCAGCTTGTTGGGAGGGCGTCATGTTGCCTGTGGTCACGTTGATCCAAACATGTACGTCGCGGACGAATTCGCGGAAAAGTACCTGACCGGCTGGGTCCCAAGGAGGGCCGGTCGTTCTTGCGTCGTCTCCGCCACGCACATGTCCTACCGCACGCCCGGTAGTGACCCATGTGAGCCCAAAGATAATAACACCAATCCAATGGCCTCGCAGGTCGTGGTGGGATGTAGTCGGTTGGGGTTTCCGATTTGTCGTCGTAAGTCTGCGTGGGGGTGGAGGCGGCACCGTATCGTGTCGCAGGTTTCCATGCATTATGTCTTCGAAGAAGTTTCCAATTGGAGTAGGTGGGTGGACTTCAGGAGTGTAGTAGCGCAGGGATGTAGGACGAAAGTAAGAGGCCTCCGCGCGAGCAGAAATGCAACTGCAAGTGTCCTTGCTTTACTGCTTAGTTGTATACATTCCTCCGCGCAAACCCATTGCACCCTGATGTTCCACCACGTCTGTAGTCCACCAGATAGGACCGTGGATGGTGAGGAGTAGAGCTAAGCTCCGCTACCAAGTTTGAAAAGGGCTGGGAGGCCCAACCAACAGCTTCGCCTTAGGCGAGGCCAAGCTCCCGCTCTGTTGTACTGTAGTAGCGATGATCCCAGTAGTAGGGGGCAAGCCATCTCAAACAATATTTTGGTTTCGATGGCAAATAATACACCTCGCGCTGAGGTGTCGTCAGATCTGTGCGGCCGGCCGCTTGAGCCAAGCAGCCGCGGATGCACGCTCGTTCCCATTCACATGCAACGCCCAGCTCACTTTAGAGTCTTCCTGATTCTACGAAGACTTGTCGCCAGGATGCCACTAAATCAGTATGCCGAGCATGGGTTCGTCCACCGATGACGCTCGCAAGCACTGCGTGTCTATGTGGGTCTTGAGTATCCAGAGTAATCCCAATACCAAGCTGTCGGCGAACAGCATATACCATCACATCGTTAGCCATTGTGAGCCAATCCACAATCGGGCATACAAATAACCACAGTGATGCAATCGGCCCCATGCATGAGAAGAGGCGTGTTTTCCCCGCTGAGATAGCATTAGCCCTTCGGCTTGGCACTTCTAAGCCACGCAGGAGATGCTGATGAGTTTTTTGTTCCAACGGGGAACAAGCGCAATATTGCCACCCGTGCTGCCACTCACCCAGGACCAAGAGAGGCCCTTCCATCACAGGGGGCTGCGGAAGGCGGGCCCCAGCTGCAATATTAGTCCAATGTGGCCTGTCACCCCACCCCTGCGCATCACAACTGGCTCCTGCTGCTCGGCAGCTGCGAGGCATCGGGGCACTGGGTAGGCACCTGTGTGTGCGGTGGTTAAACGGAATGCGTAATCCGTTGCCGCCGGCTCTTCGATAGTCCCGACCGACCCGTGCGGCCACGCAAAACTGAACGACAACAAAGGTGGGCGATGGCATAGACGGCATTCCGAATTGGTTACGGCATGGCGACAAGTCCTCCGGGAAGCGGGCGGTTCCAAATCACAATATTGAACGATTGCTCCGAGACACGCATATTCCTGTTGATGGGAACGATAACGGACGTTTCAACATTATCGCGGCAGGCTTGCACGTCGCCCGGGGCTTACCTTGTGATGTTACGGTGGTGTCTTCTATTACCACATCAGGCCCCGCGAGGTCTGGCACGAATAATCGGGGCGGCCGGTTACGAGAAGATGCCGAAGCCGAAAACATTCGCATGTACAGGGAAGTGTTGGACAGTGGATTGGGGGCACTGTGTTGTCTTGTTGCAGAGGTGTTTGGCATATGGGGGGTGCAAGCTGTGAACCTCATACCAGCGCTTGCGCGAGACCGAGCTCGAGATTTAAACCCGCGTATCCAACGAAACATAGCTTTAGGGTTGATGCACCGGTGGTGAGGTTTGCTAAGACTGGCATTGCAAAACGCGGTGGGCTTCGCCGTGTTAAACGAGCATGGCGACCTACAAGAGCTCCCACTTGAACCACCGCCTCTGGTGGAAGAGCTGGAGGTTGTAGCCTCCGTCGCCCTCCTCCTCCTCCTGCTCCTCCTCCTCCTCCTCCTCCCTCTCCCCCCCTCGTCCTCGTCCTCCTCCTCCTCCTGCTCCTCCTCCGCCTCCTCTCCTCCTCCTCCTCCTCCTCCTTTGACGCTGCTTTCCTGTGTTTCACTTCGGCTAGGTTTTCTGGTCTGAGACTTGCTCTGTGAGTCCGATACATCTGCGGAAGGAGGGGGAACAACATCAAACAAGAAACATCCAAATCGGAAGACGGCACCACGTAGCGCGCTGCCTCCCTGCTGGAGGGGGCCAGCTCGCACCGGTCCTATCCCTGCGCCCGTGCGCGGCCGACGAAAACTTCACCCCGGGCGCCCCCCGCTCCTACCCTCGATCCGCCCCCCGCTCCGCCAGCGCAGGACGTCCGTCTCCTACGCGCCGCGCCCAAGTTTGCTGGGCAGATTGCCCACGCGCTGTCCTGGCCGGCCATCTTGCGACGGAGGCCGCCTTCAGGCAGTGGGTCGTGTCCCACCCGCTGGCCCATGAGCGTGGGCCGTCGCCCCAGACACACCGCTGGCGCGCGCCCCCGGAGCTGATCGATGCCTGGGGGGCTGAGAAGATGGCGTGGGACCCGCCCAAAGAAGGCGCGGGGGGCCCCCGCTTCCCCTCCCCCGCGCCCGTCGCCCGCCCCACTCGGCAACCGTTCAAGACATCCGTTCTGAGACAGTGGCTGGCTCCCCCCCAACCTTGGGGTGGCTCCCTAATGGGCGCGGGTTGAACCTACAGCGTTTGCTTTAGGATGCAAGAAAGGAGAGGGACCTCCACTGGATGCCTCAGCGGTTTCGACGACATTGTCGTCAGGCCCGCCCCCATAGCCTGCAGTCAGTTGCGGACGGTGACCATCCACTACGACCTGCACACGGGCCTGGCCCCAAAGAAGTCGAGCGGTTGGGGGTTCCGCGCCCCCCCCTCTGGAGGATGCGACAGATGCCAGACCGCTGCGCGATGCCAGCGCCCGCGGAGCCGGACCAGCCTGCTGGCTTACCTGGAGATGCTGCACAATCCCTCGTTTATGCTGGGGGCGTCCCAGCGCCTGGCGTGGCGCCGCCCCATCCCTTCCGGGCGGCGGCGTCCGCCCCCCTGGTATGCAGGGCCTGGCAAGCCCCAACCTCTCGGGCCCCCCTGTTGTGCTGAACACTTTTTTTCGGAGTTGACACCCTGGCCGCCCAACCGCGAGATGGTTCGTGGGAAGGGGGGCTTGAGACGGTGTGCCCCATCCATGCCCCCACATGGGCAGAGGGGTCCAAGGCGATCCCCGTCGCGCAGCCGCCCCCGGCTCCTTTCTCGTTGGGCTGAAGTTCATCGTGTACCGCTGCAAGACAACCCAGCAATGACTGGGCTGCGAACCCAAATTGCTTCCTCTGGCCCTCTGGCCCTCGGTCGCCGTGCTTGTCTGTTGCCCGGGGGACTGGTCCCTCGTCTGGGCCCTGTCTGCTCTGCAGGTCGTCTCTCCTTCGTCTGGGGGTCGTCTGCGGCGCCTTGGGGCCGCCGTTGGGCCGCCGCGCCGGCCCGCGTTTTCCTCGTCCGCCCGGCGTCTTTGAGTTCGTGGCGTCCATCGTCTCCGCCGCTATCGTTGTCGTGGGGTCGTGTTTGTCGTGTCTTTCGTGCTGTCGCTCTTGCCTCCGGCTGGGAGTCGCGTTCGCGTCCTTTCGGGTCCCGCTCTCCCTGGCTGTTCCTCTCCCTCCGCCCTCCCTCCTTTCCATTTGCCTTCCTCCCGTCCTCCATACCTCTCTCTCGTCTCCTCCCTTCCTCTCCTTTGCTTTGTCTGGCTCTCCTCTCCTGTCCCTGCTCCACTCGGTCCTTCTGGCTCCTGGCCCCCTCTCTCTCCCGCCTTCCCTGGGTTCGCGCTCCCCGAAACCCTGGGCGACGGCTCGCGCGCGCCTCCCTGCGCTCTTCCGCCATGGGCGGTTTCTTCTCCACTGCTCCAGCGGTTCGACACTACCGGCCTGCGTCCGCGGCGCGGCCTGCAGAGGCAAGAAAAAAACCACAGCGTTCCCTGGGGGGTCTGTCTGTCTTAGGCCTCGCGGAGCTCCGCGACCCGGCTCCGCAGCGTCCCAGCGTCGAGGAATTTGGGCTGGCGTCTGCGAAGGGGCAGGCGAATCGCCGCTCGCGCGGGGCCTGCAACGCCGCGGCCTCAGCCAGGGATAACGGCCGACCAGATCTCCCTGTTCGGGCCGCGGCGAGGCGAAAGAAATGATAGAGAACGATGACAATAACAAAATCTCCTCGGAGCCCGAGGCGAGCGGCGATGGAAGAGGGGGGATCAGCACGGAGGACGGAGGCGACGTGATAATGGAGGCGACGGCATAGGCAAATGTAGTGCGTCGTCGTCCCTATCTCCTCGCGCCCGAAGATGCATTGCTGTAAGCGCTGCGTCCGTGCGCCTGCGACCCAGGTCCGAGACGGGTGTGCAGCAATATGGGCGGCCACGAAGGAGGAAGATCCCCTGGCCGCGCGCGCATCATGTCCCAGTCCACCTCCCCCCTCGAGAAACGGAAGGAACAATTTGCGCAGGCGGCGCATCAGTGGCTCCACCAGCGGGGGCGCAAAGACAGCCGCTTGCAATTCTTCAGCAAACACGCGCTGCCACTCAACTCGAGAGCCCGACGACCCTTCCAGGGGCCGACCCGCCGCTCTCCACCCGCCAACGCGAAGCCGTCGGTTCTCAGGGAAGCCTGCTGCGGCAACTTCCATATGCGGCACAATTGGGGGAGATTGCCGGAAGGACGGAGCGAGGAGAGGGGGGGCCCGCAGTGCCGTCGGGCAGTGGTCGATGAGGCCCTCAGGGGGCATGCGCAGAGTGGCGGGCCAGAGGGGTTGGGGGGCGAGATCTGCGCGCCTGTCGGCAGCGGCGGCGGTGATGCGCAACGAACGCACTGTCGTGCCATGCCGCTCACCGCTGTTAAACAAATCCGAATACCTCATGGCCGACATGGGCCACTTGAAGATCCGGGCCAAAAGCTGACGCTCGATTTTGGCAGCGCTCCAGGGGGTCGGGGCAAGCTGCGAGACATGCGAGGGCGCACTAAGAGCCCGTTGCGAATAAGGCTGGGCCCCCGTCGACAGATGCTGCCTGACGTCTGCGATTGTTCTGGCCCGAACGTCCATCTCGTTGAGAGGGGCGCGAACATTGCGGAGCGCCTGCCCGGGGACGCAGACCAAAGCCAAAATGCAGAACCTCCGCCGCGACTTCGATCTCTCCCCAGCAAGCGGGGCCAGGCGGGGGCGTGGCGCCAGGGCGGGGGCGAGAGCAGTCCCGTGGAAGAGCGCGCATCTCCTGTTCGAGATTGTCAGAGAGAGAGAGAGAGAGAGAGAGAGAGAGAGAGAGAGAGAGAGAGAGAGAGAGAGAGAGAGAGAGAGAGAGAGAGAGAGAGAGAGAGAGAGAGAGAGAGAGACCGGACAAGTAGGCGGACCAGGGTCCGTCCGCGAGGCGCACTGCGGTGCGACAACCCGCAAAACACTATTAGCGGCGGTGCAGCCTTAAGATACGAGGGCGGGCAACAGACCCCCTCCCCCGGCGCATTGCGTCTGAAGCTACGGACGGCGGACAGACTGTGAAGATCTCACGTGTCAGACCGCGTGACGAAGAAGGCCCCAACAAGAAAGGCGACGTGCGGACACGTGGCTAGGCGGCTTGGCAGACCGCCAGTTGGGCGCTTGGCCGCAGCGCGGCGCGCAGGGACGGGGCACCCCCCGCCCCCGCGCCCTGACACCGTGGGCGCGGGGCCACGCGTGCACACGGGCAGGCAGAATGGCGGAGATTAGCGCGGGGCTCCAGGCGGAGCGCCGCGGAGCGATGACAGCATAGCATGGAGGGTGAGTGGCGGCGCAGCACCATCGGGCGGGGGTGTAAGCAGCTCGGCGAAGGCACGACCGGCGCGGTGGAGGCGCTGGAGCAAAGGGCCTTGACGGGCTTGGGCAGCGGCAAGGTCGGCGGCGAGAGCTGCGCACCTCTGCTGGAGAGCGGCCGTAGACTGGGACAGCTCGGCTTCGCGGTCGGTGCGGGGCGGCTGCTCTGTGCCCGCGGCCGCGGGCCTCGCGGCGGGGACGAGGTCATCGGTGCGCCTGGCCAGGTGGTGGACCAGCGCGGTGCGGCGGTCCGTGCGCTGGCGGCCGTCGCCGTGGCGAGGCGACTGGAGGGTGTCGCGCGGTCCCAGGGCTGAAGCCGCTGGGGCCACGCCCCATGAGGACGGAGGAGCCGCAGCCTCGCAGCCTGCAACAGTAGGAGCGTGGACGGGGCGCGACGGCCTGACTGGCTCAGTGCCCTGCGGGGGGGCTGAAGCCGCCCCCGCGGGCTGGCGCTGGTGGGGGGGCGGGGTTGGTGGCACGGAGGGACCAATCATGATGCCGTGCGAGGGCTCAGAGGTCGGCCGCGTGACCGGGTGGCGACTCGATGAAGCGGCATCGTCGGCAGCGTGGGGTGTCGGCGGGACGTCGTCTATGCTGCCACCCAATCCGAGGGGATCATAAAAGTCCTCGTCGGCGTCTTGGAGGTGAGCGACGTCATCATGTGGGTGCGGTGCCGCTCTCGGTGGCGGAGTCGAGGTGGGCGTCGTGCGGATGCCCGACGGGGCAAGGTTGGCGCTGGCTGGCCCGTCGTCCAGGAAGTCTAGTCCCCCGCCGAAGCCGAACGGGTCGTCCTCCTGTTCGTCGTATATCGCCCGTTGGGCCTCGGCCCAGAGCTCGTCCGGGTTCTGCGGGATGTCTGGTCCAGCCGCGGGTGGTGCCTGGTCCGACAGCAGGGGGTTCGGTTCCATTTTGCTGAGTTCAGCCGCTGTAAACCCAGCCCTGCGGTGTGGGAGCGGCAGAGTACGGTGTCTGCGCTCGTAGATGGCGACAGCGACCCCGTGAAGCACGGTCGCTTGGCGATGTCGTGTTTTGGCAGCTTCAACGATGTCGTCGGGGAGGTTGTGCGTGCGTGCCGCCGCTGTGGCAAGGGCGTCGGCCTGACGGTTGAACTCCTCCGCGATGGGCCCGATGAGCCCAAGGTCGATGCCCAGGTCTCCCAGGTGGCTGGCGACTTTTTCGACGCGAAACATGTCGGGCTTGGCCATGACACATCGGTGAATCATTGCCCAGAGCTCCGCGTGCGTGCCCTGCGGCGCTGGATGTCCGTCGATGATGCTTTGGAACCCATCGACCACCGCCTGGTTGTCCACGAAGACGTGCACGGGCCGTTCGGCACACGCCGTAAGGTGGACGATGGCAAGGGTCTCCGCAACCTGGGCGTTCTGCGTTAGGCCGTGAACGCGTGCACTGTAGTTCATGCGGTGGTCGATGCCGTAGTAGACGCCGTAGCCCGCTCGTGCTAGGAGTGGGATGGCTTGGTTGGTGCACGCACCGTCCGTGGCAGCATAGACCCATGTCCATCCAGTGTCGTTGTCAAGGTAGGTGGTGTAGGTGTCCTGGGCTGAAGCCGCAGGATCACCCTCAGGGGGGGGCCGCGGGATGGGCTGTGGCAGCGGGTCCCTCGCGAGGTCGGCCTGCAGGTCGAGGAGGGCTGGGTCTTCGTCGAAGAGCCCGCAGTGTCTTGTGTGCGGCGGAAGACGGGCCCACTGGTCGTCACTGATGAGGGTGGTGAGAGGAACTCTTTCTCGGGCCCAGCACTTACAGTCGCGGACAGTGTGCTCCTGAGTTTCCTCTTCCTCGTCGCAGTAGCGGCACATGGGGCTGGGGTCTGCCGACGTGTTGGATCGGGATCGTCGCTGTTGGGTGTGGTCCCCGCCCGACAGGTAGTTCAGGAGGAGCGCCAGCTGCCAGGCAGTGCATTTGGCTGCTCCTTTGGTTCGCGCGAGCCACGTGCTGGCGAAGAGGTCAAGGCCCTGTCTGACCGAGGCGAGGTAGCCAAGGTCGTGTCGCCGTGGCTTGATCTTCCGCAGAAATGCCCTGCGTTGTGAGGCCCGCAGCATGTGCAGGAAGGCGTTTTGGGGTAGATTCAGCCAGCTGATCGGGCAGCCCCAGTCATCGTACATGATGCCAAATGTGGGCCAGGTCCATCGGAGCTGCTGGAGCGACTGGACGAGTCGCCCGACGGGTCCTCCACCAAACAGGGTCTGGACGTGGTGTTGGAGGTCTCTGGCGAGCCCGCAGAGTGTGACGTCGCGGTTAACCTGACGCCGCAGGCACAGGAATGTTTCACGCTGCGTGATGGCGTCGATCTCAAGGGCGTGTCCCGGCACGCACACGGCCATGAGAGTCCAGAACTCGACCCACTTGTTCCCCTTGGGGCGGATAGCCGCCTTGAGGGCGTGGTTGTAGGCAGTCTTGGCTGGGCCTGATGGTGCTTGGATGTCGGTGCCCGTGGTGCAGACGCTGGCGGCCAGGGATCGGGCGTGCCGCGCCTTGATAAGCATCGGCGACGGGAGCTTGCCAATGCGCGGCAGGCGGGTAGTCGCCCTCCGCACACGGGCGTCTGCGGTGGCCGTGACGTTAAGCGCGGCTGGAGCCGGCGCTGCCTCGGCGTTGATGTAACTCCCGACGAGCTTGAAGGAATCGACCACTCGGAGGGGGCGATCCGCCAGTGTGAGCTGGGTGACGGCGGCGTGCAGCTCATCGGTGAGCGCCCACCCTGCCACTTTACCAGGGTGAATGCGTTGACCGGAGAATCGGTCAAACTTGGCGGTTTCGTCGAGAGATTTCTGCAGCTCAGGAGCGGTGTGGGTAGTGGAGTTGCTGTCGTCAACGAAGGTAGTGCTGAGTGATCGAGGAACGTATCGGTGCTGCCTCTTTGTCCACACGCACATGAGCAGCTTGATGTCATCCAGGGACCACGAGCTGCCCTGGAGGTGACCGTTTGTCCTGGCCAGGTCCCTGGAGTACGCTCCGTTCATGCGGATGTAGCGTTTGTGGTGTCTGTAGAAGTTTCGGCGGACAGTAACGATGTCTTGTGGGCACCCCGCGTGCAGCGCAAGGTTTAGACAGATGTCCGTGATGAGGTAGTCGAAGCACTTCTGTCGGTCAAGGGCTGCTCCAGCTAAGGGGAGGAGTAAAGTCCTGGCGTGTTCGATGCGCAGGGCGAGAGAAGTGCTGACATCCCCAATGGTGGCTTTGGGAACGGCGCCGAAGCTCGTGGCATGGGTCCATCCTTGCCGCCAGGTCGTGAGGCTACGGTAGGCCGGCGCCTCCCACGCATACATCCACACGGAAAGAACCGAGAGAAGCCGTTGGTCCGTCGGGAGTTCCCCTCGGCCTTTTCGGAGGCACGGGTTTGGCACGTGCAGGAGGGGCTCGGGGATGGTGCCAGTGCGTTGCATAGCACGTAAGACGCTGGCGAAGAGGCGAAGGAT